TGTAGGTACAATTAATTATATTCGTTTTCATCGTGCACGTCGTTTAGCTTTTTGTTGTTGTGTTATATCATTTTTACTTGATATTAGTCTTGGTTTAACAGCATTTATTAATTGTATAAGATCGAAAACTTTCGTTGGATTTTCATATTCTGTTGATACATTAATCGATGCATTATGTACAGGTTTTGTATCATGGCATTTAAAAACAACATCAATTAGTGATATGCGTCGTCGTGATAGACTTGCTTGTTGTGTTATTGGTGCATTATTTATTGGTTCATTTCTTGCTATTGAATCTCGTGCTATACAAAGTATGATATTAGCAAAAACTGTTCGACCTGATGTTATTGTTTTTATGTATTCATTAATACATATTATTGTATTTACAATTTTATCAATAATAAAAATATTTATTAGTAAACAAATTAAATCTTCAGCATTAATGGCTGATGCATTAAATTCTATAATTGGACTTATTATGTCATTTCCATTATTATTTTGGGATCGTGTAACATTTTTAAATAAATTTGCACATCTTGATGATCTTGTACAAGTTTTAATGGCATTATTTTTATTTATTGCTGGATGGAAATTAATATTAGATTCAATAACATCAATGAATGCTGAATATGCAAGACATTTACGTGAAAAAAAATTACGACGAATGTTAAAAGAACATAATGAAGAAATTGATTTAGATTTTGAAAATGTTGATACGGATAATCCTCATTTATCTATAGCACCAATTCCTGGTTCACGACGTTTTTCTGTTATATCAAATCAGTAATGACAATAGAAACAAAGAATTTTGTTAATCAAATTTTCTTTTTTTCTCTTTCTCTTATGAAAAAATTTAGGATAAATTTCGAAGTAGAATTTTAGAATATGATTTTATATAATGTATTATATTTATCTCTTTGATAATCTTAGTATTAAACGTACATTAAACTAACATGCAAAGGAAAAACTAATAAATATGAGAAGAGAAAAGAAAAATTAGAACTATGAGAAACTTTTCGAATATTCTGCAAAAAATAGAAATTACTATTTATCTAGCAGTACAACAGAATCCTTAATGCCGTGCACAGTTATTCATCTTGTAATTAATACAAACATATCTATTATGCAGAACAAAATCGTTTTTGATCTTCTCAAACAATTAATAATTAATTTGAATATAAAACGAATAATCACATGACAAAAAAAGGAAGTACAAATGTAGAAAATAGCACTCGTCGTAAAGATGTTGACGAAATTCTACTAAATCATATTGAGTCGACTAGTCCAATTTGTAAGCCGTATTCGAAAATGAGTTTCTCCAATGACATATCCTCATCCTAACTTGTTTGTTATCCCGTACCCTAGATACTACTTACGTAAATAATGAGATCTATCCGATAGTGTGACTTTCATATCATTATTTTCAATCTCACATTTCTAATTAGATATGCGGCTAACTAAGAAAATTGTAAAAAACACAAAAAAAAAGAGTTTTGTAAGAATAAGGTTTCATGTATTAGTAAATAAGAGTATGTTCTATAAATTTTATTATATCACAACAAAAAAAATAATAAAGATGTATTTGAATATCAGAATTTGATTAAAGATGACTAAGATAGTAATATAAATATTGATTATAAGATTTTTTGTTTTCGTACTAAAATTAATGATGTCATTGAGTGCATATAGATTCAATCTACTTCAAAAAATCTGATCTCCGGAGATAAATATACTCAACGTTATTATACGAAGAAACCTAATCTTTGTAAGTTCATATTTCATAATCAAAAACCTAGAAACAGAATTCTTCTGAGACAAAAATTCTCAAGTGTTGGCCCTCGATCATGTTCATAGTTTATCCATATGTAGTATTTGGTGAGACTAATAAAAACCAACCAGTAAGTCTCACTGTTATTAAATTACTATGGCAGTTTCTTTTGAAAAGTATGATTCCTTCTCGAAATATTCAATGATCAAAAGAGTTAATGTTTTGATCTAAATTTCACGTGAAAATCTGTGTCTTACAACTTTTGATCAGCCGATTTGCAGAAGGTCAAAAATTCACTTTAAACCATTATAAATCCAAAAGAACAAGGCATAAGTTCCTTTTCGCTTCCACTAATCTCATCGAGTACTATACTATGAACAAACTACGAATGCGATCATTAGACAACAGCTATAGAAATTTGTAGATAATTCTTTGAAAATGTTTCGATTTTCACTAGTCAATATTTTTTGGAATTATATTCAAAAACAACAAATATTAATCTTATTTGTTAATGTTTAAGGAAATATATTTTCTTTTTATTTTCACAGAATGTTAATATCAATCAAAAAAAAAAGATACAACTAATAGATAACAACAGCAAAAAAAAAGAAAAAAAAAAAAGAATGAATACAGATCATAAATTAAGCATGTCATCTAATCGTTTATCTATATTACAAAAATGTTTAATAATTTTTCGAAAAATTTCTCGTTGATCGTGATTTAATTGTGTAAATACAGATGTATTATTATCTATTGTTTTTGATGAATCTTGTTTAATACCACGATAGAAAAGTTCAAGAAATAGTTCATCAACAAGTGTATATGATGTTATTACTAAATCTTCACTAGTTGATCGATCAGAATCAACTTTTGTTGTTGTTGATTGAACTTCTGTTTCATCATCCCAATCAATATTTGTTGATGAATTTTGACTTTTTAATAAACTATCATCATCACCTAATTAACAAGAAAAAAAAAATTTTACTGTTGTTTTTTTTTTTTGTTTGTTTGAATTGAGAAGAAGAGATAGATAAAATATTTAATGAACTTTATGAAAACAATATAAAGAAAAAGTTTATAATAGATTTTAGATTGGTGATCGTATGTAATATTCTTATTGCAGCAGTAAACAAAAAAAAAAAATCAATTTTTTAATATTCACAATCAAATTGCAAACAGTAATTCTAATGTGTTCATATTAACTTAGTTCTTTGAATTTTTCCTGTGTATTATGAATGAAATAGCTACTATCTGCGTTTATTATATTCGAAAAGAGTAAAAAACACTGATTCTGATAAATTCTATTTGACTTTTTTTTAATATTAAGTATAGAAATTATTTCAAAATTTTTACAAATATTCTAATTGAAAACTTTTTTTTTTATCTTATCAAACCTGTTTTTCCATTTGTATCAAAATCATCAATATCTTTTCGTTTATTTGATGAATGAGATTGTGTTCTTGATCTTTGTCTACGTATCATATGTTTTTGATGTTCACGTCTTTGTCTATCTTTATAACATGTATGTCCAATAATAATAAAATATTCTAATAATTGTTTATTAATTATATTTAAACCATGTTTATAAAGAAAAAAATTACATATTGATATACATGATAATAATAAAACACTACGTATTTGTACAATATCATCATGTACTAAACGATTAAGTATATTTTCAATAAGTTTCATTATTGTTTGACAATGTTCATTTAACATATCAATAAAATATTCATGTGTTGTATAAATTTGTAAACAATTAAATAAATTTTCTAATATATTATTTATTGTTATTGTTTCATTTTCAATTAATGCACTTATAGCTGTTGTTATTGATGTTAAAAATAAATAAAATACTTCTGTTTGTTCATTATTATCAAATAAATTACATTCATCTAATAAAACACGTAATAAAAGACTACATTGTTCAAGTAAATCTTTATTATAACATGATTGTAATATAAAACATAATGGTTCATATGTTAATTGTATATGTTCTAACATTAATAAACGTGTATCTTGTCGTACAATTAATGTATATATTAAACGAAATAATTGTACAAGTGTTGAACAAGCAGAATAATCATCACTTGTTAATATTGATAATATTGTTGATAAAAGATTTGTATGTTGTATTATACATAAAGCAACACTTATTGTTTGATTATCTTGTATAATATTACGTTTACAACAAGCCATATTTGATAATATACCAAGTACAATTTCTGTACAACGTTTATCTTTACATTGAATAAGTACAACATTAAATAAATCAAGTGAATTAAATTCAATTAATAAATGTGCAACATCAGCACTCATGCTTACATCCCATAATTCACATAATTCAGATTCAAATGTTTCATCTAATTCTTGTTTTTTATTAGAATTTGTTAATACATATTCATCACCTTGTTGACGAATAGTTGAAAATATTTCATCGTGAATTTGTTCGGGAGCAACAAACTAAAAGAATGAAAAAAAATTAATTTTAGTAAAAAAAAAACAACAAACTATTAGCATAATTCTTATGGAATGAAAATACGATATGACTACTGGAGATATGGAATAAAGATGTACTTCATGTGTTAGAACAAGATGTTATTGATATACGGTCTATGATCATATATCAACAAAATCATTAAGGTGAAGAAGAATGAATCCAAATTTCTATTTTTATACTTCAACATTCCGTTTAGATCGTATTTTATAAAAAAAAAACAAATTCTTTTCTTTACTTGAATTAGTTTAAGTAAGACTTGACAAAACCATGATTTAGAATACATTTCATCACCAACCATATCAGCTCGACTAAGATTATCAATAGGTGGTGGTGAAGGATTTCGACCAATAGTAGGTGATGATGATGATGATTGTGGTGGTGGTAGATTTTGAGAATGATTTGAAATCTGACGATGAGATGAATGCATTGGTGGCGTAGAATCAAGTTGATATTGTTGACTAGGTGTATCATGATCACTTGTTGAACGAAATGACTTGAGAAAAAAAAATTAACAACAACAACAACAACAATAGAATTTTTCTTGAATAACAATAAAAAATAAATCAAATAAAACAAAAAACATACAGAAAACGATCCAGGATCGTTATTTGGTGTTGGAATATTTTCTGTTGATGTCATCGTAAGATGTATCTAAAAGAAACAAGTTAAAAACGATTGAAGGTGTTTTTCTTTTCGTTTCATCGTTTTTTTAATTCTTTTTTTTTTCTCTGTTTATTTGTCATCAACAGTCTTTTTATTGATAACCAATTCAGGATAACCACTTGCAGGATCCATTTCTCTAGTAAAGGTTACATTTTCACATTCAGCCAAAACAATTTCAACAGTAGTAAAAACAGTCATTGGATGATCATCCATAACATGACCACCTATAACTCGTCCAGTTCGATCAGAAAATGATCCATGTATATGTTGTCCTTCACTATCTAATGTTCCAACTAAACTAACAATTTCATGTGGTGTATTCAAATCTATTACATCAGTTGTACTAGCCATACGTAATCGAATTGCTTTTACACTACCGACACAAGTCATAATAAATACTGATTTTAATCCATTTTTGTTCATCAATGTTCGTATATTTCATAGAACATCCATATCAGGTGATAAACGCAATGGATATACTCGTATTGAAGTTGGAATCAATTGTAAATTGCTCCAAGATGACATGATAAATAAATAAATAAATATAAATATAAATATAAATATATATTTATATATATATTAATCTCAAGTAAAAAAAGACATTGCAAACAAGCAGAAAACAAAATAATAATCAATTTAAAAATTTTAATAATGATAGATATGTTAACTTTGTTTTATTTCTCATACTTTTTTTTTTATCCTTTATAAACCTATTTACATAAACAGCATCTGAAAGATGACAACAACAAAAAAAAAAAAAAAAAAAGAATGTTGATTTTTCTTATGTCAATTTTTGTTATTGTTATTATCTGTTCATTCTTTTCGTGGTTGTGTTATTTCTTTTCGTGTTGCTTCTTGTAATAATTGTGTATCAACATCATCCGGTGGTAATTGTATATAACGTATAACAGAACCACGTACAAATGCTGATGTAACCGATTGTATATGAGGATATTTTTCTGGATCAAGTACTTGTACATCAGTTAATTTAACGTTTAAATATTGATCAACACTATGTAATGTACCAGATATTGATAAATCATTTTTTAATTCAATAACAACATCTTTGCCAACAAGGGATTTAAAAAATGAATAGAATAACATATCTATAAAAAAAAAAAAGAAAACGAAATGACAAGACACAATATGAGAATTTTTTTTTTTTTAGTGCAAAACAAAAAGAAATTTTTTTTTTCAAGTTTAAAAATGCTAGGCTATACAAATTATTTTATTCTAAGAACGATTAAAACGATTTCCTTCGCCATGTCGATGATCATCTTTAAATTCATCCATTGATCGTAAATATTTTAACATATCTGGATTATCTTTTTCGGTATATGACTCTTTAGCAATATCTTCTTTTTCAGCATCACTTGCCGTTGGAAATTTAGGACCTATAAAATAAATAACAAAAAAAATTTCATATGAATTATTCTTTTCTTTTTTTTTGTTTTTAATGTATATTAAATATACCAGCATTCATTTGTTTGACTTGTTCAGGTGTTGGTGCAAGACCACGTTGAGTAAGACTTTGATAAAATTCATCAATTGTCATTGTAGATATACTTGGATAACCAGCACCAATTGCTTTTGCTTGTAATTGATCACGTGTAATTATCATTGGTTTTAAAGGACGTGATGGTGATTTACGTTCCGATCGTTTATGAATTTCTTCATCATTTGTTGATTCTATTGATTGACGTTGAAGTAAAACTCGAAGTTCATCTAGATAAGAATAACGTTGAAAGAAAAAAAAAAGAATTTATTTATATCGAAATATTTACCATATAAATAATCAAGATCATCAAATGCTGTATTAATCCACCAATGAATTTTACTTAAGTAAAAACTACGTTTAGCTTCTTCATCAGTTAAATCATGTTTCATTGCTTCTTCAAATGCTTTCATAGATTCTTCTTCTTCACGACGTTTTAAATGACTAAATTTAATATAAAGAAGAAAAAAAACAAAATAAAAGTTTTTTTTTTTTCAAATAATTAAAAATCTGACGAAGGAATCTTAATCACTTTTAAATCGGGATTATTTGTATCAGATCAATTCTGATGATCTATAAATACTCTGAAAAGAGCTCGGATTCTTAGTTTCAGATTTATTGATTTGTAGATCTTAGATTAGAAACAACGAAAAGATTTGAAACTTTCACAATAAACTATTATGTCTTTGTGAAAAATCAGCTTTTCTAATTTTTCTAACACGAACCACAATGTGCATTATTAATTTTTTTCGCTCTTAATATCTCATAAAGGATACAGATGGAATAGTATGACAATTCGTCAATCCAGTGTTAGTATTGACTTCAGATCGGTTCTATCTTAAAATATAACGTAAAACTTCAATAACTTTGAGAACAAATAACACATACAGTTTTCGTCATATTATGATCTCTATTATTAGCAAAGAATGTATAGATAATTTTTAAAGTCATAAAATAAACATTACTACAAACATGAAATTTTGTCATTACATCAATCTCGAAAATATCTCAAATCAAAAAAAAGCAGCCTTGCATTAGTACTTCAAAATACCTCATTGAGATTTTAAATTACCAGAAATTAATCCTACTTTCTTCATATAATTAAAGTAAATAATGCTCTATTACGAGTCTAAACGATATATGTTTCTTTTATTTTATTTTTAAAAGGAATTCAAAATTTTCTCTTGAAAGATCTTTTTTTTCTTTAATGTTAAATTTAAATATATATATATATAATCACCCCCGAATTTTTGATGCACGATCTTGTGCCATTTGCATCATATCAACATTACGACTTGATAATTGTTCTGTTTTTTCACATTCTTGATTTGTTGGTATTTTTGGTATAGAATATTTATGTAAATCATAATTTTTTGTCATCGTTAAAAATTTTAAATAATAATCACATGCATGTTGTACATTAACAAGTCGTTGTGATGGTTTTGAACGTTTTGTTTGATATAACCAAGCAAGAAATGCATAAATAAGTAAATAACGTATATTTATTGTTGATACTTCATCAATATGTTCATTATCACTAAATAATTCAAGTGATATAAGACGTTTTTCTAATGATTCAAGTAAACGTATTGTATGAAGAAGTTTACTTGAATAATCATCTGTTGTTGTATTAACTGATGAACTTTGTAAATCATTTTGATTTGACCATGCTATATCAAATAATTGTGAAAATGTATGTGATTCATCATTCTTATTATCATTATCATTATCATTTAATATTAAATGTTTATGTATATCATTATGAGAAATTTCTTTTATATTTGATGAATTTATTTCATTTGTATTTGATGATAATGATGATTCATTAGAATGACAATGTGAACTACAACAATTATGATCTGCCATTAATTAAAATCTGAAATATTGAAAACAAGAAATTTTTCTTTTCTCAATGGATAATAATATTTTCTTTTTTTTTCTTTTTGTTTTTATCCAAATATCGGAAACAACAAATAACAAAAAACAAAACAAACAATTATATATATATATTAAGTTAAATTTTTTAATGCACATTCAGTATTAAAACGTTTTAATTCATCAGATTCAAGTATATGAAGTGCACGTGAATGTATACGAGATATAGTAATAAAATCAAGTGATCGATGTTGTTTTGAATAATCCAAATAAGCAAGCCAAAGATCTTAGAAAAAATAAAATTTTCAAAAATCTTTTTTTTTTTGTTTTGCTTTCTTACCAGCTGATGTTTTACCAAAATAAATAATAGCTTGTTCAAATGCAGTTTTAATACGTTTATGATCAATATTTGATAATGATTGTTCTATTTTAATATAATCCATATAGAATGATAATGAAGCTGGTATTCGACATGATAATCTAAAATAATCAAAAAGAAATTTATAATAAGAAATATTTAAAATAAAAAAAAAAAAAAAGAAATTTCTACTTGTCAAATAATTGTCGAACTTGTTTTATTGATTTGTTTTGATTAACCCATTGTAGATATTTTGATTTTAATTGTAATGTTACAGAAAGATCAAATGATTCCATTTGAGATTGCTAGAATAATTTAATGATTATTATAAGAAACAAACATATATTAATCAATAGAACAAAATATATCATTCATTTCTTGCCTACTGGTTAGACTTTTTCATTCTTTTCGAGTATGTGTGCAGAATTTCTTTCTGAAGTACTTCCAGAGAAGAAATTTGACACTCAAGGTCAGTCCGATTTCCGGAAAGGCATCGCACCCATGGCTTCCATGCTGGATAAAATACTGGTTGGACAGAATATTTTTTATATTTCGACTGAAACCTATCAAATTCAAAATGCGAAAGAGTCTTTAATGACTCAATTCTGTTGAGCAAAGTTTGTTCTATAAAGCGTGCTGTTTAGTTTTGTATTTTTAAAAGCAATTTTTTAAAATAACATTATTTTTTTTTCTAATGCTAATTTCTATAAAAATTAGCTCTTTGGTAGGGATACATAAATGAGATCTTGCTCTATTGTAATATTTCATTTTGTACAGAATTCAGCAATATTGAATTGAAGCTTGTCCAAGACACAAACTAAGGAAATCTTATCTCCAAAGAAAAATCTGAACACATATTCAGCAAGAACAAAATAGTTTGATTACTTCTGCTCTAATCAGTGGCCGAAAAATGAGCGAATATATTGCGTTAGGACTTTCGCACTATTGGCTAGTTTTTTTATTTTTTTTTTACTTCAAATAATTCTTCTGTCCATTTATGATCATTTTCTTGTGCATAATCAATTATAGTATTCCATATTAGAGAAGATTTCTTAAAAAATAAAAGATTTTAAGGTAATACTTGAAAGTTTTAATATGAAGAATATTTTACTTTGACATCTGAATTTCCACAAGCAAGTTTAAATTCTTTTTTTATTGTTTTGCAATCAACAGATTCTTCAATTAATAATGATAAACGTTTATTCCATAGAGAAGCATCATTTGGATAATGATCAGTTGCTTTTTTAATAATAACTTTTGCTCGATTATGATCAACTATTGATACCTACAGAAGAAAAAATAAATATAAAAGGAATCAAAAAACAAACAAAAAAAAATTCTTGTATCTTACCCATTCTAAATAATGTTCAGATGTTAAAGAAATCTGTTCACTTGCCAATGAGAATATTCGATCACAGATAGAAATATGCTAAATAAATTGAAAGAACATATTACTATTATGTAAATAATTTAATTAATAAATGAAATAATTATTAACACATTTTACTCATTTAGCATTCATTGAATTGATCTTGAAAATAAAATTTTTCTTTTTTACAAAAGAAAAGTATTTACCTCAGTTTTATTTGAATCTGATGCTTGCCTAAGACGTTGAACACAAAAATCAAGATATAAATTCCATAATTCATCTAAAAAAAAAGAAAACACTTCATTATAAAAAAAAAAAAATCTCTA